TCTATTTCATGATGTATTTTATAAATGTGTTTATTGTTGAATGCACTGTTAATCAATTATGAGTTTCATATCGATGGACGTCTGCAGATCAAACATTCTGCAATGATGGTGGTGACATATCTGACTTGTGAGAAATTCTTGTAGCAAAAGAAAACATCATGTTTTTCATGTCATGTGTTGGATAAGTATATCGCCTGATGTCTAGAAAGAAGTCTGTTTGATGGATAGTTGTTGGCAATGGACATGCCATGTTCGCTTCCTGTGTTAGAGTTGTTCAAGAAGTTGGGAGATTGGCATATTGATGATGAGGAAGGTGGGATGATAGCGACGCTAACTCAATTAAAAAAAAAAAAAAAAAAAAAAAAACACTAGCAAATAAGAGAGAAACATGAACAACAGACAAGAGGAAAGCAAACAGTGAGTGATTGTCTTTGTCAACCGACATGCTAGTGTAACAACAGAATTCATTTCCCTTGCTATTGTTGTTGGTATATTTATTTTCCCGTTGTTAAGCACATCGGTCCCGCAGCAGGGGGACCCTCCTGGCCTCGTCACGCAGGATTCGTGCAATTGTTTTTTACTGCGGTGCAATGGAGCTTTTGTCGTCGCTCTAACTGAGTGAGCCTCTCGCGAACCCCTACGACAGGATAGGGCCACGCGAGGTACAACTTACCTCCTCCCAAGGGGCTGTCACCACCCTTGAACGAGTGTATCCCCGTCGAGTTACCGAACCACCGTCCCATGCCTCTATCGGACCCGTACACGAGTCGACGCGCTGGGGGGCTGAAGTCCCAAGCGCGACTCGTTGCAGGTCGACGGAGACGCATCCTTCTTACCACACGTTACACCACACTAAAACACACAGAATCAAGATACTCACACAAACAAAACACTCATAGCCCCTTTGGTTTCCAACCCATAACTTTTCGACACAGAAAATGGTTACGCGTCGCGCACGGGTTTTAAGATTAAACCGTGCGGACACGGGGATCTCTCATATCGACTAGCCATGCATGAATACGCAAGCAGTCGCAACAATGAACTACTATGTAGTACCCATAATCGAGTGACCCTCAATGGTCTCGAGGGTGGCGATCGACATTCAAGCGTCGGCTGACACACTCCTTGAGGGGTTAATCTCCCGACACTAGACAACTGCCAAGGTGGTTGACAGACCTACCTTCTTCTACACCCTGCGGAGAGTGGGCGGTAGAAAGGTTCAGACCTCTTGTGGCGGTCAACACTTATGGCCTTGGAGAAGAGGTCCACCATCGGGGTTTGGAGAAAAGTCAAGGGGTTTGACTTTGACGGTTGTCATGGACATCAACGTCCAACTATAAAAACTTCAAAAAACAAGGCAAACGAGGGATCTTTATTTTCTCTCGAGACAAATCCGCTTGACCCTTATGCATAATCATTGTAGACCGCGTGGATACTCAGAATATATACATACATACATGTATAAGGTGTAAGGCATGCGACAACCACTTCTAACAATCACAATATGATTTTCTTCAAAACATATATATATAAGGTTGTTGGCGTTCGGGATGGGCCGAACGCCCGAACCCGAACCCCCGAACGTTCGGCACCCCCTCTCGACACGTTCGGCCGAACGCGGAAAAAAAAAATCAAAAAAATATGAAAACAATATATGGTATGCATAAGAATAAACCAAACAATATTTGCCTCAACGTTATATCCAAATTCTTTACCAAATTTGAAATAAAAATCAAATACTAAAAATAAATAATAATAATGAAAACTATAAAAAATAAAAGGAGAATGAAATTATTGAGCGGGCGAGCACGTTTTTGACACCGCCATCTTTGGCGATTTTTTTTTTTTTATGTGACAAATACTATGAATATACGTATATCTTACATAATAGAAAATCTATAAGAAAAGTTTGAAAAAATAATAATTTCTTTCATGCCCCGAAATAAATAAAAATCATAAAGTGAAAAAAGAAAAAAAAACAAATTAGTGAATGCGCAAACAAGTTTTGACACCACCATCTTCTATAATTTTTCATTGTTTTTGGTTGGACAGAATGACTTAAAAATTAAGAGGGAGATACAAAACATTTTTTTTTAAAAAAATAATAGTATTTAGGTGCCCAAATATTTTTTTGCGGGGTCCGAACCCCTTCAAGTTCGGGCCCCGTACGGGGACACGAACGTTCGGGGCTCAGCTTAGGAGCCTCCGTACGTCCGGCCTAGCAACCTTGTACATATATACATATATATATATATATATACAGGGTTATCAGCCCGTACGTATGGAGGCCCCCGGGCGGACCTCCGTACGTTCGGGCGTTCGGCCCATCCCGAATGCCGGTTACCCTGTATACATATATATATATATATATATATATATATATATATATATATATATATATATATATATATATATATATATGCGATCGCAGACAGGGTCAAATCTTGAGTCCAAATCACAATCATACTTGCAATCACATCAAAGATTCAACCAAAAGTCTACGCACTACACGGGGTTAACTTCAATCACTCTCTGTGCTCATACCCATTGCTTTCGCCAAACCAGCCTCAACCTTTGTCCAACCCTCCATAATAAAATTATCAGTATCTTTGTTGAATGATCATTCAATAAATTCCGGGTGAAAGCCAAACGAAACAAATCAAACCACAAAGGCTAAAACTTTTAGGTTGAGTAGTGAGAATGAGTTAGAGTAGAGTCATAAACGGAAGAATTGACAACTGATCTGTTATCAGTGATAACAGAAGATGATCCCGGTGGGATCAGACTGAAACTAGTCAAGACCAATGTCCAAGGCTAGACTATAAATGTATGGAGAATGAACCTCCATATCACATTCTTATTCAAAATATCTCACTGAAACTAGTCAAGACCAATGTYCAAGGCTAGACTATAAATGTATGGAGAATGAACCTCCATATCACATTCTTATTCAAAATATCTTACAACAAAGTATAAATTTGTCTTTTAGCACGTGTCCAAGGAAAGCAAAATTTTTGGTAGCATCTCCCTTATATAAGGTGGATCGTCAAAATTTTTCCTATTAAAATATAATTTACCTCCTCAAAACTACAAAAATTTCATCAGCACTTTTTATAGGAAAGTACCTTTTCAAAATTTATACTCGCTCGAATATGAAATTTGAAATGGTCCTCAACACTAGAGAGTCAAATTTTATTGAACTTCATGAATTAGTAAAATTTTGGGCAGCATCTCCTTCAAGTTTAGAAAAGTAGACTTCCTATATTTATACTAAGTCGGATAAAAACTCGATACAAGACTTGGGTTTTATCAAGACAAAATTTAACTAACTCCTTAGATTTGTAGAAATTTCGGTAACTCCCTATAGAGAAATGTCATTCCAAAATTAATACGAAGCTATATACAAATATGAAAATAGTTATGGACTTACGACTTTCCAAAATCAAATTTTATCTAATTCCCTGATTTAGCAAAAATTCGGGCAACACTTCCTCTATAAAAGAAGGTTTTCCAAATTTTAATAAGCTAGATATAAAACTTAGATTTTGAAACAAATTTATTTTCTGTCACTTGCAAAAAATCAAGGCAGATACCCTTGTAAAGGTATTCGCATCGACTCCGTGGGCGAAGTCCCCTTCATACAAGACTTCGTACTCAAATTGTCAAATGATGTTTTTTCTTCGTGTCCACTGATTTGTTATTTGATACATTTATTGAAGGGTTAGGGAAGAAGAGAAAAAAACATCCACAACAGACAAAATAAAAGCAAACAACGATTATTGGACTATGTCTTCCCAAACAGCAGTGTGACAATGAAAGTCATCGACCTTGTTATTATTGCTGGTCAAATATCTCCTGCAATGTGGACTCACTGAGTCCGCTTCATAACCCACCTCGTAATGAACATGTGTGCTGTTTGTTTTTCCTTCATGTGTGCTGCTTTGTCATTTCATATTTTATAGAGGGTTGGTAAAAATAAACGAAAAATATAAACAATGGACAAAATTAAAATCACATCAATGATCTATCGTTTGTCTTCTTCGCGCTAGTGAGACAACTAAAATCATCTGCTTGCTATTGTTGTTGATCAAATATCTCTTCTCGCTATGTGCCTTTCATATGACAGTTCGTAATCTGAGTGTTGTTGTTTTTCCTTTATGTGCACTGCTTCGCGATGTGATATTTTGTACAGGCATAGTGGCTCTCTCTCCCCCCCCCCCCTTCCCCCTCTCTCTCTTTTCCCTTGCAATCGAAACCAACAAAAGCCCCTATGGCATGGGAGTGCAAGTAATGGAATTGGGGTGTGGTCAGTCCCCCAACAATTTCCACCCCAAACAAACCTCCTTATCAGCTGATTGCCCGCTGCGCCACCTTGACACAGACCCGGAACCCACTTATGAGTTCTGGATGGTCGCACAAATGTCCGGAACTCAACTGGTGCATGTGGGACTTGGCCCCCGCAGAAAGAACGGGTGGAGGTTGTAAAAACCTTAACACATAGAGGAAAAAGAGTCACAGTTCTTTGGGACATCTGTTAAAATTGGAACGATACAGAGAAGATTAGCATGGTCCCTGGGGCCTGGGCCGACTAGCATCGATTCGCGTCACGTGTGGCACGTTTGTGGCCATTTAAAAAATAGAAAAAAACAGTTTTCGGGTTTTTTTCAGGAATGCAAAATCGTAGTCTTGACGGGTATGTATCGTCGTAGCTCCGCAACTTACGGTTCGCTTTCGGGAGGCAGAATACTGACATTGCTCCGAGTGGAAACTTGTTGTGGTTTCCCTTTTAGGAAACACTTGCTGTCGGCGCTGCGTTACCGAGGCCTTGGCCATTCGCGGAGAGTAGCTGCGGGGGGGCCGCATTTTTGGAAAAATGGCGGTGCGCTTCTCCGCCCGTTACTAGCATTCATGTCCTAGTAACTGTCATTGTGAAACTGTGTTTTTTTATCAACCTCCGGTACGCCTTGGCCATTCGTACGGGAAGCACATCCGTTGAGGCTGAGCGAGTTTCCCATTGCTGCTTCCACAACCAACTTTTGAGGGGGTGAGGGTTTTAGTTCATCCGCGGGGGGTTGAGGGGGTGGGGGGTTGTGGACGGCCGCGGCCACGACATAGCTGCGAGTGCTTTGATCGTCTGGCAATGCCTCGCTTACGGAGGAAGGAGCTTGAGGATGTCGTGTTGGCTTTGATGGCCACCGAGGGGAAAATGGCGGATGATGCCTTCGAAATGCTGGATCTCATCATGGGATTCCGGCCAAGGAGACCATCTTTCATTCTAGGGTCCGCACAGCAGTCACATAAATTTGGCTCTGTCGATGACAATGGCGATGGGCGTTGTGCCCGTAGTCTCCTGTGGCTGTTGCCCACCATTGTGGAGTTGACGAATGTCATTGCAAGGCCTCCCCCAAGGTGGTGGGTGTTGCGGCGCTCTGCGGGCTTGTGGAACGATCTCATTCCCTGTGACAACGCACAGAACGACCATTACATTGGTCTTCTGTGGATGCGGCGTTCCACTTTTGACCGTCTTGTCGAAAGTTGGAACCACTGCTTGAGAAGCAGGTTACGAAATTTAGACTGCCGCATCCACCTGCGAAGAAGGTGGCATATGCCCTCCACAGGTGGGCCCATGGGGACTGCCACTGACATAGTTGCTCGGGTTACGGTATGGGAAAAAGCAGTGGGTCATGAGCCATTCAGGAGGTCGCCGAGGCTATTATTGCTTCGTACCCGAATGTGGTGGGGTTTGGTGGTTTTGCTGAGCGGGACGAGAGGATGCGGAAGTTTGCCGCTTTGGGTTTCCCTAATTGTTGGGGGTGCATTGATCGCACTCATGTGTACATGGACAAGCCTCGACGCAGGGGCGGAGACGAGTATTGTTCCGGAAGAAACAATCGCTTCTCCGTTGTTGCACAATTGGTGGTTGGCTCCGATCTCAAAATTCTAGACTTCTGTTACGGTTTCCCAGGGACCGTTGGTGATGCACTCGCCCTCAAGAACTCATCTATGTATAGGAGGGCGCTAAAGGGGTCGTTGTTCTTGGATGTCCCGAACGACCCATTCCGCGGTGAGAGGCCTGGGATTGTTGGTGTGCCAGGTGGGTACTTGTTGGGTGACGGAGGCTATCCGAGTCTGTCATGGCTTGTCATTCCCTACTGAACCCTGTACCCCATCGTGACAGCGGACATGACGTTGTTCGACAACCTCCACAAGATTGTCAGATCTGCTGTGGAGCGGTTTTTCGGTGTGTTCAAGATGAGGTTTCAGTTTTTCTACCGGCCACACATAACGTACATCAAAAGGGAGGGGTTGGAATTTCATGCTTGTTATATCCTGCATAATCTATTCCAAGAATCGGGGGACGTCCATGTCGATAATGATGACGCGTCCGACGCCGCCTCTCCTCAGGTTCCGTTCGGGAACACCTCCCGGAAGCGGACGTTGCTCCCCTCCCCTTCATGTTCAGGAGGGAGAACGGTCAGGCCATGAGGGATGCACTGTGTGCAGAGGTCATTCGACAGTTCCACATCCGCAACCAAGTTTAATCGTTTCGGGAAAAAAAAAAAAAAAAAAAAAAAAAAAAAAAAAAAAACCAACAACAACAACAACTATAGATATGGATCGGATGCATTCCACCTCCTTCTTCGGGGTATTTAGCAAGGATGACATTTGCACACTCATGACAGGTCGAGTTGTGCTTGTTGTTGGTTGAGGTCTGTTGTAGTCTTCGCTCGCTGTTCCGCGCTCGCACACCATGGCAGGGAATGGCACTTGGAGGGATTATGTGAGGGAGCGGAATGCGTTGGTGCAGAAATTGGAGAAGACAGAGAGGGAGGTTGAACGTCTGTACAAGTTTTTGGTGGCGAGAGGTGATAGTATCAGCGTCCGTATGCAACATGGCAGAGCAGTTTGTGAAACTGAGATAACGCAGAAGTGTGGTCATGCGAGGAGATGGGCTTTGTTCGTTGTTCAAAGACTGCGTTCGTCGAGAGTGAACCTGCAGCAGTGGTGTGACGACGTCATCACAGAGCATCTGCAGACACGGCGGCAGTTGGATAGATGCAGACAAATGTCGGAGGACATGCGCATACAGGTAGATCAGACATCTACAGCCTTGTGGGAAGCGTTGGTGGAGCGGGATGCGGTTGCGGCGGAGCGAGGAGAAGCTATGGCGGAGCGTGATGAAGTTCGAAGACAGTTGAATGCATCATCAAGAGATCTGCGAGTGACATGCCAGCAGGCTGAAACGACTTGGCAAATCTATAACGACGTTGTGTATGGTGGTCAGACTGCGCGTCAGAAGTTCCCACCACCGGCGAGATATTTATGTGATGGGATGGGATGCATGACACTCCACGATAAAGGAAAGGCTGCCGACATATCCACTTCCACCTTTGCTGCACAGACGTCGAAATACGTTTCATGTGAGGACTTGACTGCGCGTGTGTCGGAGATGGAGAGCGAGATTGTAAAACTTCAGATGACTAATGAGCTCCTTACTTATCCTCCTTCATTCTGGGAAGACATGGAAAAAGAATTCCGAGAGTTCAGGCCTCCGGCGAAGTTCCCACCACCACCGGGTCGCCCCTTGTAATAGCGCAAGTGCTGTCTACCATTTAGCATCACCGCTTTATAAGGCTCTTTTTTTTTTCTTTATTTTTCCCTTTCTCTGCGTCTTACGTCATTAGCTGAAGTCCATCGGTTATCCCATTCTTTGCTATTAATTTCTCTCTCTTTTTTTTTTTTTTTTT